AAAAAACCCAGTGGGCTCCCCCAAAGTCCACGGTATAGTTTGAACACTGGGCTTATGGAAGGGAGGGGTTTGCTCCGAACTTGCTTGGAACGAATCGTTTCGAAATCATTGGCAAATGACTCTAATATTAAATGTATATTCTGAGAACATTACAATGTTTTCTGACCTTAGATGCATTTAAACCTGTTGTAGGGGACTCCAACACAATATTAGGACACTTTAAAATACCATATGACCTGCTCTTTAAATACATTATATAAAAAACAGAAAAGTTTTTTTAAACTGTAATATTTCACAATATTACTGTTTTTACTATACTTTTCATCAAATAAATTGATCAAATATTTATAGATAGATTTTCTTCAATGTCACATGATCCTTCAGAAATCATTTTAATATGGTTATTTGCTGCTCAACAAAACAACACTTTTTTTAGTATTATCAGTCTTTAAAACTGGTGCAGCTTAATAATTTTGTGGAAATCATTAATATGAAAAGTTCAAAATAACAGCATTTGTTTGAATTAGAAATCTAAGAAATATTTCAAATTTAGAAATATTTGTCATCTATAACTTAATTGATCAAATTTAATAGATTTTTTTTTTACAAATATTTTAATAGTTAATAATAATTTAATGATTCATGCAAAAAGTCTAATAAGTAATTTAAAGTTATACAATTACTAGTAAAAAATACTGACCAGTTACAGAATCTAAAAATATGCACTTCCATCATATAACATTCATGTTATTTGCCAGATACGCATAATCAGTTTTACGTAGCTTATGCCTGTTTAGCATCAGAGCAGCTGCGTTTGTTCATTCCCCTCCTCATCATATTTACTGTGATGGTAATGCGTGTTCACAGTGCACAGGTCGATGTCTGGGGCCTGCGGTGGCCACGCAGAGCAGAAGCGTCTCGTGCAGACACTTCAGCAACTCCACGTCCAAAACCTGCGACCCAAAAGAAAGGTGCCAGACTTGTTATGCAATATTCAGCATCACTTATTCTCACATGCACAGCTCTGTTAACGTGTTATTTCTCATGATCTGGTTCTCCAACACCTTTCAGGCCGTCATCCGTGAGGAACTGCTCGTCTGAGATGTGTGATGTGCACTGGAAGGTGTTCCCGTGGAGGACGTGTACAGTGGCATGTGGCAGCGGCTTCCAGTCCCGTCGAGTGGAATGCATCCATCAGCAGAACAAGAAAACCCTCCCCGACCAGCACTGCGCCTGGCAACGGCGGCCTTCTACCTGGCAACACTGCAACATCACTTCCTGTGGCAGTGAGTCTCTAATAACACCTTGTTATAAAGCAGAGCGGCAGTACGGTTCGGGGAATGTTTGCCCTCGTTCGCCACCTTTAGAGCGTTCATGTTTTATTAGGGAAAATATTAGCGCCCTGAGGGCCAAATATATTGGCTTGTTCCGTCACTCGGGAAGTCCAAGTTATCACAACGTCCCAAGAGAACTCGCTCTCGTTCGCAGGTTTTTCTTCATTTTTTTTTTTTTTTAAGCTCGGTCATTTCAGGAATCCTGTCTGTCCAAGCGTCTGCTTTTTGTTCTTCGCTCTTCTGCGGTGAAACTTAATGAAACATAATTTTTGTGTCACCTAACTTGTTTCTTGTGCAGAAATGTTTAATGAAACAACACCAATAAATGAACTTATATTGTTTTTAGAGTGTGAAGCCGTGGTCACGCTAGACTTTGAAAACGAAATGTTGCTTCACACCGCAGCGAACATGATCTGATATCACACTCTAAGGATTCTCTTTTTGAGAAAAAATTCATTACTGTGAGCAGCAACACTGCTTAGTTTTCTTTGACTTGAGGTCAGTCTGTGATATTTAGATCCTCAAATGTCTTTGTGCTATGTGAATTTGCAGGTCGGAGTTCACCAAACTTGAATTTGAAATGTAGCAGAGGACAAAATGAATGTGATTGAGTCAGCATTTCTGGTTTCCCACGATTCTGTGTATTAATGTCATTGGAGCAAGTCCCACAATTTCACAATAATCTTTGTAAAAAAAATCAATCCAAGATCCTAGGTGGACAAAGCAAGAGGAACAGGAGCAGGTGTTTCACATCAGATATGTTACTGTAGGGAGTATGTAGCAAGATTCGTTAGATACGGGACGGAGGAGGCGGGAACCGACTCAACTTGAACATTAATTAACAACTCATAAATGAACAAGCAAAACACACACAAAACATAAAGTGTTCTAGGCCTGGTCCTCCTGTATTAGCACTCACATCAGCAGCTTATTTTATTTTATTGTATAATTGATTGGTTATATTATTTTATAATTGTATTTTTTAATATTAAGAATAATGATTAATAATGAATAATAGTTATTATTGTTATTATTAAAGACCAACAAAAGACTGAGGACTGCCATTATTAGTTATCTTTTCATATTTAAATTAGTTTTTGTTTAACTAGTCAATTCATTCATAGTTAATTCAGTTCATTGTTTTCGAAAACATTTAAATGTTGTTGTTCACAAACTCATTGATTTTATTTTATCTGTGGAGTATAAAGTAGATAAGTAGATATTTAACCTATATGAAAATATATTAATAACAATGAATAATCAAGCATAATAGTTATAATTAATAATAATAATAATAATAATAATTAAATACCAACAAAAGACTCAGAACTTTCATTATTATTTATCTTCATATTTAAATAAATTTTTTATTTAACTAGATAATTCATTCCAAGTTAATTCGGTTCATTGCTTTCGAAAACATTTAAATGTTGTTGTTTACAAACTCATTTGTGTAAATAACTTCTATTTTCTGATTATTTGTCTGTATTTTAATACGTTGAAATTTGCATCTGTTTGCCAATTAATGAGTGGATTGTGCTTTTGAAAAGTATGATTTCCAACCTTATATTTTGAATAAGCTTTGTTTTATATTTGTGCTTCTGTAGGTGAGTGTAAGGACAGAACCCACTACTGTCCTGTGGTCAAACGCCTCAAGCTTTGCACCGTGGATCTGTACCGGCAACGCTGCTGCCAGACCTGCTCACAGGACACCAGCGCCACCTAGTGACCCAAACCAACAGACACCCTTTTCAGTCACCGCCCTGATTGTCTCTCGTAACACAGCATATTGTTCAATCGTACAAACAAAAAGGACACCTGGAGTGTATGGACTAAAAGATATCTGGACTACACTTTTACTGGATGCTTTCCCACAATCATCAGAAGTCCAAAGAGAAAATCACTTGATGAGATTTGAAACTTTCGAAGCTTTCTCACCAGCTTTCTCTGCAGATCTCATTTTATCTTGCCCTGAAAGTGATATTATATGTGTATTAATTTAAGATTTTTTACTTGCGAATATGAGAGGACAAATCTTATCGGACCATTCACCAACGTGAAGGAAATATAAAGGCCTCTTGGGTGTACATGATGCACTGATACTAATAACATCAGTAGTACACAGCTTGGAGTATTAAGAGAGACATGAAATGTATTTTTTGTTTTGTTTTTTAAGGCAGAGTCCTACCTTGAAGTCAACATGAAATGCTGTCACAACCCATTTTACTTCTCTAATCTGATTACTTCAGAGGCAAACAGGACATTCAACAAGAAAAATGTGGGGCGGGGCTTATTGTATTTATAAGGATTTGATTGGCTCGTAAATGGAGTCAGGTGGTCAGAGGGGAGGAGTTAGAGGAGTAAGAAGGATTTGTGATGCCAGCCGAAAAGGGAAATCGTTTCAGAGGGAAGCAAGTTTTATGGAAGTTTATTTCCACCACGGAATGAAAAATAAAAACAGTAATTCTGACTTTTTTACTCGTTTATATCTTACAAAGTAGTATATATCTCACAAATCTGACATTTTTCTTGCAATTCTGAGGAAAAAGTCAGAATTGCGAAGTATAAACTAGTAATTCTAAGAAGAAAAGTCTGAATTGTGAAATATAACCTCACAATTGTGAGAAAAAAGTCTGAATTTGGAATATTGTGTCTAAAGAAAAAAAAAAGGTAATTACAACTCACAATTTGGACTTTTTTTCTCTTCTCAGAATAGCAAGTTATAAACTCACAATAAGAGTTTTCTTCTCCAAATTGGAAGTTTATATCTCATAATTCTGAGTTTATATCACAAAAAAGTTCCGAGTTGTGAGATATAAACTGAGATAAAAAGTCACAATGAACGTTTTATTTTTTATTCTTTGGTGGAAGTGAGCTAAAGTTATTATATTTTGATAAACATTACAAAGACAAACACAGTAGCATGTTTTAAGTAAGTAAAAAGGGTCCATTTTGTTTTCATGTTGACTCTAATATTAAATAATGATGTTTTAATATGGACGTAGAATGTATGACAGAAAACCCGTTGACTGATTGAAATGGCATGTGCCATAAGTCACATTTCTCCAGCCGTCTTTTAGTTGTATGTTTTGTGTTCAACCAATGTGCTGCATTGTAAAATATGTCTTGTATATAATGTGTTTTTAAGTGCAATATTGTACATTGAGTGTAGAAAGTTTGGATTTTATTTTCTTACTTGGTTTAGTTTGTCTTTATAATCCATATTTAAGATTAAACCAAACACAGACCTACGTACTTATAGCACTTGAAGTGAATTATCCATATCTCTAATATAATGGTTTCCTACTGGCCTTTATGCATGCATTTTAAGTAATGAATAAATGTTGTACATAAGCCAGTCACCAAATTTATCCATGAATTTAATCCATTGCATTTTATTGCTACAGTATGTGGAGAAAGTGCCGCTACATGACTCGGTTAAGGAAGCGCCAGTTTTGGTTCTGTACATGTCAATATTGCAAGCAGTCTATGTGATACAAAAACAATAAATACAGTTTTACCACTCAGTTTAGAATTATTGATCTTTGTATTCTATATTGTGGTTAAAACAATCAATTATTGTGTATTGCAAAAAGCGTGTTTTATGTGGTTAACTGTTGTTCAAAAGGCCACATTTATTTGATAAAAAATACAGTAATATTGTGAAATATTATTACAATTTAAAATAACTACTTTCTATTTCAATACATTTTAAAATGTATTTTATTCCTGTGATGAAAGCTGAATTTTCAGCATCATTACTCCAGTCTTCAGTGTCACATGATCCTTCAGAAATCATTCTAATATGCTGATCTGCTGCTCAAGAAACATTTCTGATTATTATCAGTGTTGAAAACAGTTGTGCTGCTTAATATTTTTGTGGTAACCGTGATACATTTTTTAAAAGATTCTTCAAAAGAACAGCATTTATTTGAAATAGACATCCTTTGTTACATTATAAATGTCTATGTTGTCACTTTTGAATAATTGAATGTGCTCTTGCTGAATAAAACGTTTAATTTCATTAAAAAAAAAAAATTACCGCAAACTTTTATATGGTAGTGTAGAAGTGATTTTGATATTGAACTAATTAAGTGGTATTGCCAAAATCTGATTTATGACATATTATAGTACTTTCACTGCATATTTTATATCCTACGACTGTACTGCAGTTTCATCCTATTGAAAATTTAAAACTAGCTAACATTTAAAACTATGCATAATTAATGTTTTATGAAAGATAGTTCAACCCACTGACCTTTAACCGTAATTCATTACGATTCCCCGTAGGATTACAATAAGTTAGAGAGATCATATTGTATGCTAGTTTCCTTTTATAGAAACAACATGATGACTTTCTTAAGCTGTCAAGACCATTTCCTTCGGCGTCTCAATCTTGTCAGCAGACGTCATCTTGCGGAAGAAGCGGTGGCCTCGATCGTCGTAATTATCGAAAACAAACCCCGGCGGAGACTCAAAACTGGCTGGACACACGCTGATCTTCTTGGGCGTGAACTCTGTGCGGTACATGGTGTCGTTCTGTAGGGGAGCGTCGGTCCGCAGCGGTGCGTTTTGGGGCTTGAAGCTGAAACTAGGCTGAGCTTCATGCTGAATGAAATGAGCCCTGAAGGTGGTCAGATCTTCCATTTTCCCACTGGCTCGCTGGATTTCCTCTTGTTTCCGGATCATGCTTTGACGGGGAGCCGCCCACGGCTGGAAGTCGTCTCTCATGGTGGTGCTGCCCTGAAAGGGCCTGGAGGACTTAGTGGGAAGTGAGAAGGGTTTGGCGGAAATGAAGGGTTGGATTTGGTGCTTGATGTAGTCGGTGTGCGAGGTGGTAGTCAGGTCCATGTGCTCTGTTGGACTCATATAATCCACCGACTTCTGCACCTGCCGGAGGGATACGGGCCACTGCTGGAAACGGTCACGGAATTCCGTGCTGCCCTGGAAGGGCTTGTTGGAGGCCACTTCGAGCGGCTCAGGCTTGCAGCTTTTGGTCAGCGGACTCGGCAGGCCTTGATAGTCTTGTCGATGGGTGGTGAGGTCCTGGAAAGGTTGGCTGTTGGGTTTGTATTCTATTGGCGGTTTAACGTACCGGGCTTCTAGAGCATGCGGAACATAGGAGAGCTTGTTGCTGGTCATGTTTTCAAAAGGAGTATCGGATAGCTTGGCTATGTTAGGGGGCTTGTAGCTCTCACGTGGCACTAGGCCTCGGTGGACGAAATCGTCCTGGAATGTCGTGGAATTCCCAAACTTTGTAACAGGGGGTTGATACGGTGTGTCAGGCTTAGTCAATTCCCGTCTGCTGATCTCCCACTGACGAAAATCCTCTTTAAAAACATCATACAAAACTTTTACTAACAAACAAAGGCATTTACTGTAATAACTTCTTTTTTATGCATTTCAGCTTTTGTACCGTGTACTGAAAATATTGTTGGCTTTTATGATATACTACTGTATGTTTGGGGTCGGTAAGATTTTTTAATGCTTTTAAAATAGGTCTTCTATGCTCACCAAGGCTGCATTTGTTTTGATCAAAATACAGTAATATTGTGAAATATTATTACAATTTAAAATAACTGTTTTCCATTTGAATAGAATTTGAAATGTAATTTATTCCTGTGAGGCAAAGCTGAATTTTCAGCATCAGTGTCACATGATACTTCAGAAATCATTCTAATACTGATTTGCTGCTCAAGATACATTTCTTCTTATTATCTGGTATTTTTGTGGAAATCTTTTTTTTTCAGGATTCTTTTACTGTCACTTTTGATCAATTTAATGCATCCTTAGGGATTCTTAAAAAATAATAAAAAAATTAAAACTTACTCGTCCCAAACTTTTGAACACTAGTGTTCATGATGTTCCTTATAAGTTGTTGAGTATAAATTCTTTTAAATTTAAAAATACTTGATTTAATATAAGTAACAGCAGATACTTAGATAAGGCTGTTAATAAAAAATGTTCCAGTTGTTCAGTGTGTGTATTCTGAAACTGCATGCTCAGAAAGCATCACATGACCTAACTGACCTAGATTCTCATTACCTTTATAGGTGGGTACAGTGTCCAGTTTTGCATTCGTGGTATATACTCTCTCTTTCGGACGTGAAGGAACAAATGGTTGCACTTCATATGGGTTGAAGTCTTGTTTATAGGTCGTTCCTAAGTCAATCTCTCCAGGCTTGGGCTTGTACTCGGCCTGCGGCTTCTCAGGGCGATGGGTGACCACATACGGGACATAGTCTGTCCTGAGAAAATGAGAAAACAAAAAAGATTATATGATGATCTGAAGCCTATAGAAAGACATAGAGGAGCCGTTCTAACATCTAGTGTGCTGCCACTTTGCATGTAAAAAACACTTATCGAATCATAGTGAGTAGATGTATGTATAAAACTGTGTAAATTATTTGACTAAAGATTAGCCATTAATTCCCAGAATGTACCTGAAGGTGGTTGTTCCTTCCATCGTGTCCTGATGAGCTTTATACTGCAGTTGGGGCTTGACGCTCTTGGGCCGCATGTGCCCTTTATAGGCGGGATACTTCTCTGAGTACTCTGACAACACATTAGTCTTACTGCCTTTCTTGTAAAGTGCCGTGGGCTGGTGTGTGCAACGGTGGCGGCTGAAGATAATGGAGAAGCATTTACGACAGAGGAGCCATTTAAAATAAAATTATACTTTTGAGAAGACATAAACTCATTAATATGTCTTTCACCACGAGATTGTTCTCAAGTTTCCGTGGCACTTTTACTGAACATGTTTGTGGAGTCCAGGGCAACAGCTATACAACAAACTCTGTCACTGACTAAAGCCTCCATCCT